TTTAGCTGTTTTGGGGGCTGAACCTTGTCTCCAGGTTTAGCTGTTTTGGGGCTGAACCTCGTCTCTAGGTTCAGCTGTTTTTGAGGATGAACTTCACCTCCAGATTTAGCTGTTTTGGGGCCTGAACCTTGTCTCCAGGTTTAGCTGTTTTGGGGCTGAACCTTGTCTCCAGATTTAGCTGTTTTGGAGGATGAACCTCGTTTTCTGGTTTAGCTGTTTTTGGGTGGCTGAACCTCTTTTCCAGGTTTAGCTGTTTTGGAAGATGAACTTCACCTCCAAGTTTAGCTGTTTTGGGGCCTGAACCTCGTCTCCTGGTTCAGCTGTTTTGGAGGATGAACTTGGCCTCCAGGTTTAGCTGTTTTGGGGCCTGAACCATGTACATGGAGCAATCAGTCCCAACTGGACGACTTATTGGGTCAATGGAGACTTCTCAGTGTGGCTGAAGGGCCACATGACCAGGGTCCAGGTGCTCCAGGTGAAACTTGCCCCCTGACGTTGGACCTGAAAACACAAAGATGTTTCATCTCTGGGTGTTTGATTCCATGACGAATGCAGATGCTCGCTGCACCACCGATAACCTTCTGATCATTTGAACTCCTCAGCTTCTGCTGCTGAAGCTCACAGGTCAAACTGTGTTTCCAGGTGTTAGTCCCAGCCCTCCTTCAGGGTCCAGCAGGAGGTTTTCTTCTGAAAACCTTCAGAGTTTTCAGGTCTCAGTGTTTTAAATCGGGGAGTAGAAACAACAAACATGAAGTCTGACACATTTCAGGCTCAGGTGGTCTCAGCTTCATCAAACATTTCAACATTTGGTCGTAGAAACTTTTCATGTAGGTCTAAGAGGAGTCGAGGCTGAAGCTGCAGAGAAACGTCCGGTTCTTCTGTCTCAGCTCGAGTTTCGTCCCACCTGCTCTGACGCTCTCCTTGCTGTGTCTGCAGCTCATGTTCCTGGCCTACCTGTTCTTCCTCGTGTGGCTCGGAGTGACGGCCTTCACCAGCCTCCCGGTCTTCATGTACTACAACGTCTGGTCCATGTGTCAGAACGCCAGCTCTGTGGAGGGAGCCAACCTCTGCCTGGACCTGCGTCAGTTCGGTAACGGCAGCAAACTCCGCCTTGGTTCTGTTCTGGTGATGTTCTCACAGGGCTGCAGCTGATCGGGTCAGACACTCATGGATCCAGATCATCAGAACCTTCGGTCTTTAATGACGGCAGCTCGGCTCGTGTTTCCAGTTTGAACTGGACTGTTGGTTCTGGTCGTCATGGAGACGGATCCTTTCATTCACAGGTTTTATTCAAGAAGTCTTCATCAGTTTATCCATTTATCTCTTCATAACATGATGCTGCCACCGCCGTGCTTTACTGTTGCATTCATGTTCTACTGAGAAAACGCTTGAATTTAAAGAAAACGTCAGTCTCCTCAGGTCTGAGGTTCATCTTACTGTTGAGACGTTAGCTGATGTTTGAGAAACTCCTTAAATGCATTAGAAGTAAATAACAGACCTCTGTTCTCAGAAGGTTCAAGCTGTCAACAAACCCAGATGTTCAGATCCGATAGAACCACGACAAGAACAGAGAGTTGTTCTGACAGCAGCTTCTGTTTGAGTTTAAGAAAGTGTCTTATTTCCAAACAGTTCAGTAGATTCTCAGCAATCATTTGATGATAACAGACTATCAACACAACCGCTGAGTGGGACGGTCCATGTTTAAGTAAACAAGAACCGCTGCTCCTTTTCACTGAAATGAGTCAACTGAGATGTTTGCAACATCAGAGAACCAGAACTTTCTGCACCGATTAAATATCGTCTCTGGTCTGGAGAGTCTCCCCTGATGGATGATGGATGGATAATGGATGGATGATGGTTGGATGATGGATGGATGGATGCTGGCTGGATGATGGATAATTGATGGATGGACGATGGTCCATCATCAAATCCTTATTCCATCTATCATCCAACCAGCATCCATCATCCATTCATTATCAATGGATAATGGATGGATGATAGATGACAGATAGATAATGGATGGATGGATGATGGTTGGATGTTCATTAGGATGGACACGTGTTCTACTGTAATGTTCTGTTAGTGTAATGTTGGTTTCCATGGGTTTGACTCGGCCCACTGGCTCGAGCCGGCGCTGGTTCTGGGTCTGTTTTGCTCCAGGTTTAGTGTTTGTGTTAGGCTCCACCCCTCTGAGCTGTGTTTAATGTGACACGTGCGCAGTAGACAATAATGATGATCGGCCCTCAGAACCAGAGTTCCAACCATAGACGTACCTGTATAGTATCTGTGGTTCCAACAGCTCCAGGGCTCCTCCATGTTGTTTGGTTTCAACCATAGGTTTTCTGCTGCCCCCTGCTGGCTAACATTCCTAACTGCAGGCTCCTCCTGTATGAGGTGTTTTATGGTTCACAGAATTACAGATGGGTTTGGGTTCAGTGTTTCGGTCACACTAGGCCTGACCCGGATAGTAACGGCCTGACCCGGGTAATGGTGCAGAACCAAAGACTGCAGCCACTCCTGCTGATGATGATATGTGACGAAGATCTCTGCTGTGTTCTCCAGGAGCGGTGACCGTCTCTGAGGACAGGAAGGTGTGCACGGGAACCGAGAAGTTCTACAGGATGTGTGAATCCAATGAGGTGAGAGGAGGAGGAGGATGATGATGATGATGGTGACAGTGATGATGATGGTGTGCTCTGTGTTGCAGCTGGACTTGACCTTCCACCTGTTTGTGTGCGCGCTGGCGGGAGCTGGAGCTGCCGTCATCGCCATGGTGAGAAGGACTAAACTCAAATCTGGTTGGCTGTGAGCCTCAAACAGGAAGTGATCCTGATCTGTTTGAAAAACTGCCACTTCTAAAACAAGAAACTTTTTAAAAAATCTTAATTTCACTGAGAAAGATCGTTATGAAGTGAACGTACAAGATTTTCCTGCTTTTAATAAGTGGAACTTTCTTTGCCGTCCCCAGGTCCACTTCCTGATGGCTCTGGCTGCCAACTGGGGCTACCTGAAGGACGCCAGCCGGATGCAGAAGTACGAGGACATCAAGTCCAAGGAGGAGCAGGAGCTGCACGACATCCACTCCACACGCTCCAAAGAACGCCTCAATGCCTACACATAAACACAAAGCTGCCGCAAACCACACACGCTTACCTGTCAGACACACATACACAAACACACACACATACAGACAAAGACAGCACATACGCATCAGACAGGAGATACATTCAACAAAAGTAGGCAGAAATAAGATGATATATGAAGCTCCGGCACCGTCCTCGTGTCTGCAGCAGATCATTGGCTCGGGTGCTGCTTTGGTTTCACCCCCACCTCTGCTCCTGAGCAAAAACACACCTTTAAGTTCACCTGAACCGTTTCAATTCAGCTCCTCCGCTGAAAGATTTACTGATGAACAGAACCCCGGCTGCAGCGTCTGGTTTTAATCTGGAAAAACTTTCAGTTTGAACATTTTCAAAATATATATATATAAAATTACATACTCTGTTGTTTGATAAGTAGAGAAGACCAAAAATAAAGAACCAGAAGAACCCAAAGAAGCGAGCAGAACACCTTTAGGTTTGATTTGGATCCCGGTGCTGAATGTTTGACACTTTGGAGCTAACAATCCTCTGCAGACACGAGGATGGGTTTGGTGTCAGAGCACCCCTTCTTTAACCTGCACACATACACATACACACACACACACACACACACACACGCGTCGATGTGACTGGGTGGTCGGTGTTGTGCAGGCAGTGTTGTCCGGTGGTGTCATGTGTCGTGTCGTTTCACCACACTATGATGACCGGTGTTGCAGAGAAAAGGGTCCCCCAAGGAACTTTGTACCTGCCAGGTACAAAAGAGTAGCTTTGCCAACTTTCCCTCCTTTTCTCCTCCTCCTCCCCCCTCCTCCTCCTCCTCCTCCTCTTCCTCGCCCTGAGTCCAGTTTCTGCAGCTGTTCCTCATCTCTTCTGGACTTTTTGGACAGAAAACCAGTAAAATGTGACAACGACTCCATGGTTCCAAGATACCAGCATCTCTTGATTTCTCTGTGTTTAAAATGTGATGATCAAACTAAAAATGGTTCTACAAACAGCTGATGAAACCGGGCCACCCACCCCCCTCCCTTTGAACCCCCCTCAGATTGTATAAACTTGTCATTAGTCCTCAGAAACAGCACATCTTAGCAGCACAAAGTGTTTCTGTCATCCGTCTGTTTGATAACGTTTTGGGGATTATTTCTGTGTAATTTTAGCACTGTGGGTATTTAATGGGGTGGGGGTGGGGGGGTGGGGTGTCACATGTTCATGTAAGGAGTGTGTATTCCAGTGGTTCTGCACAAACACACACACTAACACACACACTAACACACATACATGTGCACACACGCCAGTCAGTGCGTTTCCTGCTGTCGTGGTTCGTTCTGTTCTCCTCGAACCCGGATGAGACCCAAAGGTTCTGGTGCCGACAGGAAACACTCTGTGGCGCTGACAGGTGATTGGCGGAACCTGGTGGATGCAAAGGCTGAGGTTTAGGTTTATCTCCAGGAGCACCTGAATGTTGTTGTTGAGGTGGAAACAGGTCTTATGGAAGTGGAGGTGTTGAAGGAAGCAGGAAGAACCAGACTGGGGGAACCGGACTGGAGGAACTGGACCAGGAGAACTGCGGGAGAAGAGGTCCAGACTATAAGCTCTGTGCTCAGGGAGGATTAGTTTTACTGGATGGAGTTCAGGGATCTGGGAGTTTTGTTTCTGAGGGATGTTGGGATTAGACGGATCAGGGTCTGGTCGACAGTAATGAGGACGTTGTTCCGATCTGTCAGGAAGGAACCAAACCGTCTATGTTCCAACCCTCACCTGTGGTCAGGAGGTTTGGATCAGAACCAGATCCTGGATCCACACAGCTGAGATGATCTTCTCTGTAAACTGGTCCGGCTCCTCCTCCTTCTCGTTAAAGGAGTCAGCTGAGGAGGTTCAGACATCTGATTAGGATGAGTCCTGCAGGTTTTCTAAATATAACCCACCGGGTCAGACCCAGAACTCTGTGACTTGACGTCAAAGAGGTGGAAGGAGACCGATTGAGTTTGTGGCGTCCTGAATTCTTTGGCGTCTTACAAACTGATCTGCTCAGGAGCTTCTGATCTTGAGGCTGTAATCTGGATTATTTTGATTTTTTTCTGAGTGTAATAAGTCAGCGGGATCTGAAAACTAAATTGAGACAGCTGACTTTTAGACTTGTCAAACCAGTTCTCATTCACGATGAGCAGCGAGTCTAGGTCTGACGGAACGATTCCAGTCCTCAGAGTCAGACCAGATTATTTGAGTCAGACCAGATTATTTGAGTCAGACCAGATCATCTGAGTCAAACCAGATTATCTGAGTCAGACCAGATTATCTGAGTCAGACCAGATCATCTGAGTCAAACCAGATTATCTGAGTCAGACCAGATTATCTGAGTCAGACCAGATTATCTGAGTCAGACCAGATCATCTGAGTCAAACCAGATTATCTGAGTCAGACCAGATTATCTGAGTCCGACCAGATTATCTGAGTCAGACCAGATTATCTGAGTCAGATCAGATTATCTGAGTCAGACCAGATTATATGAGATTAAACGTAGAATTTCTGTGTGTACAGTCATGTTGGGTCAGGATGGTGACGAGTCTCTACCTGCCAGTAGAGATGATGGAGGAGGAGTTTGATGTAGATGAGATACACACACACATACATACACACACACACACACACTCCAGCACCACCGTCACTCTGAGCCATAAATCTTTTACTTTTCACCGACATCTCACTCTTTTATTGACTTTTGATCTTTGAAACTTTTTAAATGTGAAATGATCTAATTAGAACAAGTGGGCGTGTCTTTTTGTTTCCTTTGGGTGTGGACAGAAACACACCGAGTCTGTACAAAGATGAACCGGGCAGCCGGGAGGAACTCTGCTCTGGGTCCCAGGGTCTGAAGGAGGCCACTCGCTGGTTCAGTGGCTCGCTGGTTCAGCGTTTCTGTGGCTCGCGGGTTCATTGGTTCAGTGGCTTGCTGGTTCAGTGACTCAGTGGTGCGATTTGATCATTTCAAAGTGTTTTGTAATTTACACACAAATATGAAAGCCAGCTGTTGAACATCTTTACAAACTCAAAGAGTAAGAAGTGAAAAAAGAGTTTTTACAAACAGACCTTCACCCTCGGCTCATCAGTTCATCCTCTGATGAACTCAAGTTAGTTTTGATCAGTGCAGATGATAGAACATGAGCTTAATTACCCAAACCTGTTCAGAAACTGACAGAAACACGTTAACTTCCATCGATGTCAGATTCTTGAGATTCTTACTGTATCGCTTGAGAATCGGACCCATGAGGGCGTTTTAGCACCAGAGAAATAAAAACCGTTTGTGATGGAAAGGATTCTCATTCAGAGGTGAAGAAAATTCAACCTCAACGAACCTGCAGGTTCCCCTGAAGGCAGCAAGTGTTTGGATCTGGTTCCTGATCTCATGAAAACCGTTGAAAGTGAAATA